CCGGGCCTCGGTGGCCTTGTTGGGAGTCCGGCCCTGAGTGCCAGGAGTTACTCCTGCTAGCTGGACATGAAAATACAAAATATTTTTATGCAATATTTGATATTTACCTGATGAAAATATATGTTTTATGATTCTATTTTTAATTTCTATACATAAATAAAGAAGAAATTACGCACAACACCACTATAACTTCCTTTTAATTCATGCTTCCAGGTTGATAGAAATTATTTAAGTACAGATACACTTTAAACTTGTAGCTAAGTTACATTTATGTTCAGTTCTGAAAGAAATAACATTGCATAGTGCATATTTAAACTGTACATCTCAACAACTACTTATAGCACATTAAATCCATTCATTTGTGCGTTTCAGCTATAACTAAGTGGAAACATTAGTCTCAGTGAAAAGTGTTTTAAACGAGATTATTTTAGAGTATAAAATGATGGCTAAAAAGGAAGCTAGAGTGAATGTATCATCACAAACTATGTATTTATTCAGTTTTAAAATGTTAACCATGCAATAATAGGGTATTTCTTTTAAAACTGTACAGAAATGAATATTTTATTTTTTCTTTAGAAGCATGCTAGTCTAGGTGAGGCAAGACTTAGGCTTGGATTCTTATTCTATATTTCTACAAGATTCAGCAACTATATATTATAGGTAGTGGGGATAGACAGAGAACCTTTGGCCTGAGGGACACATTTCTGTGGGCTAACAATAGGAAAGTGTGCAATAGCGTAGTGATTGGTTGGCTTGATAAAACTAGGGTGTTCCTAAAATACATAATTTATTGTGACACACCTATTTATTTACAACATCAGCTTTCTTTGTTGTTCTCTGCCATCACTATGTGAAATCTGAGCACCACAAAGGTAGTCAGTCCTGAAAACTTTGCCCTGCCAGAAGTTGTGATCACAGGTTTGAATGAGGAGTAGGCAGCTACATATAGCCTACCTTGTGTCTGATTAAAGTGTGAATACTGAAGTTTCTCTACTCAGGGCCACTAGTGCAACATATATTATTAGTGGCCCAGAATTCAAGGCCCCCACATCCCAGCCCAATCCTTCCTTGATATATAGAGACATATATCAGCATTACATTCTGGATATCACCGCCATTCTGTGTTTCCAGTGAAAGGCATGGGTAAGCCCAAGGCATTGGTTCAAAAGATATATTAATCTTTCCTAGGAAATCTAATTTGGAGGTATAGTTTTTCTGAGTAATGCTTCCAGGTTATGGTCTTAAGGTTTAGACTAATGACAGATGATGTTGGTGATAGCAGATTCATTTCTAGTGAAAAATATTTCTAGCAAAAGCAAAGCTTTTGAAATAAGCTAAGCTTTTAGAAACCCAGTTGACATTCAGAAGACTGACTTGGGTTAGAATTACAGTCACAAGAAACAAATAGCAGAAGACATTCAAAAAGTACAGCAAGAATCTTTCTGCTCAGAATTTATACTGTATCTGTCACTCAGTGATATCAAGGTCTAATGCGATATTAGTAAGGGGAATGTACTAGGATTTGCATGGATGTGTCTATCACAGTGGAAAACAAAAGCAATTGGCTGCAAAATTCCATGTCAGCCTATCAAATTTTCCCCAGAGTAGGCTTAAATATCTTGG